GAGAGAGAGAGAGAGAGAGAGAGAGAGAGAGAGAGAGAGAGAGAGAGAGAGAGACTCCACTGGCCAGTTATGATATATACTCAAAAGCCACACTGAATTCCCACCTCCTCCAGCCACACCCTACCACTTCAATTAATCCTTATCAGGGGATTAATTCACTGATTGAGTTAAGACTCTTATAACCCAATCATTTCTCCTCTGAACCTTCTTGCATTGTCACACACATGAGCTTTGGGGGAACACCTCACATCCAAACCATAACAATCAAACTGTTTTAAAATAGTTTTTAAGAAATGTACTTAATGATTTAGACCAGTAGTTCTCCAAAGTGGGTTCCCCAACTAGCAGAATCTGCATCCTCTAGGAACTTATTAAACATGCAAATTGTGAATCAATAAATCTGTGGTGGGGGCCCAAGAATTTATATTACTTAAATCTACTTTTAACAGTCCTCCAGGCAATTTAGATATACATTAAAGTTTGTGCATTATTGATTTAGATTCATCTTTTTCTTTTTTCCTACTGTTTACCTTCAATTATTTTCTGACATCATTTCCTCATTTATTGATCCAAAATTTATTTTTCACTACAAAAATGTGTTTCAAGCATTCATTTCTACAGTTAAGGCATACTTGTACTTCTGACTGTTCCAGGCATGACACTTATGGGTTCTCCAATAGGTGTGGAAATTCAACATAGCCATAACCTACAACCGTTTCATCCTAAAGAGTGTTCTACAGATCTGGATAGTGACAACTCGTTCTGTGCACAGGGCCAGACTTCCACTTGATAAATTACTGGTGAGAATGGCTTTTGTATTGTGTTTCCTTCCCCTGAAATTAGTTACTTGAAAATGAGAGCTAAGACCCACGCGTTAATCTTTCAACACAAGTGTGAACACACACACACACATACACACATTCTATTCTCAATAGATTTTATAATTCTCTGAAATGAAGTCAGGAAAGCAGGATCCTGAATGGAAATATTCGCAGATGATGTTTAATCACATATTTGTTCAGTGCTCCTCATTATGCTAGATTACTATGTAGGTGAAATATTTATGATTCAACAAAATTGAACAGGACAAGTCCTAATTACTGACCTCTATGTTTGCAAACAAGATGTAACACATGCACTATGAAAAATAAAAAGAACACATATATCAAATATTATTATATTTGACAATACTACATATAGTTAATATTGTATTAAAAATTAGTATAATAATTTACAAATGATTTAATAATTTATAAGACAATTCTGTGTCACATCTTTGTTTTTAACATAACAACTTAAAATTTAAAACAATTCAGGTAAATTTTTAAAAATATTTTTCATTGTAGATAGACAAAATAACTTTATTTTATTTATTTCATTTTTTTAATGTGGTGCTAGGGATTGAACATGGCCTCCCTCATGCTAGGCAAGTGCTCTACCACTGAGCCACAACACCAGCCCTAAATTTTTTATCTATGATTCAAGGGTAAAAAAAAAATCTAGGTATGCAATGGCATATAGGTCTCCTGTGCAGATTCAAACTGATTCATAATACCCCCTGGAATTCATGCTTAAGAATGATTATGATGCTGACTTTCAGCTCACTCAGAAAGAATACAGTGATCCATTAACAATTTCTGCTATTGGGTAAGAACAGGATGTAGTGGTATTTAGTGCAATATATTTTAAATGGATGCCTGTGGTGTTTATGTAGAAATACTTTAAATGTGAGATAAATTGTTTAAAAAACACTCATTCATCTGCAACCATAGTTCATCTTCGGTCTTTAATAGAAAATAGAAGAGACACAGTGCTGTTACAGTTGTAATTATTAAGTTATGAAAGAACTTGTATTTGATAGGGAAATCTTTGTGAATTCAATATCAAATACCTCTTATTCAGCATTATTCATGAATAAGCATAGAAAATTTTAACTTGTCAGCAACATTGTGGAATAGGTTTGATGATATTCTAAAATAGTGCTGATTTATGCATATTAAAAGTATTTTAATTATGAAAACAAGGCATAAACATGATAAAAAAATTCAAACAGTATACTAAACATGAGATCTTACTCTCATTCTAGCCCTCAGTCCTATATTTCTGTGCCTAGTCACAACCACTATTAAGTTTCTTCTGAAAATTTTAAACAAAATCTATTGACATACATTTATAGTACTTGTATACACACACAAAAACATACACAGAGAGGGAGACAGGTAAACACACATAATCTTTTGTACATGAGTGGGAAGATACTATATACATGGTTTAGCAATCTCTTTTTTAAAATTGACTTAATATATATTGAGCATCATTCCCGATCAGCATATTTGTATCCTCACCTGTTTTTTCCTTGCTTTGAAAACATTTCTGTTAACAATACTTAGATGAATAACAAGCTTTTTATAAAGGCTTCTGTTAATGTAAAAGCTTGTATAGACTTTATGAAAGAGCTGGATGATAATATCAAAGAGGATGTTTATATAAATGGCCACACTCCTTTACACAAGGCAATGAGCAGATATGCAAATTGAATTCTAATATGTGGACTTATATACACAACACCCAAGCAACTCAGTAATTGTCAAATATATACAACTTGTTTCTTCATTGCTCTGATTATTCAACTTACTCCTATTTTTTAAAGCTTCATATTTCAATCTACACATGTAAATCATTTATAATAGCTGAATATTTTAAAATTATATTTTCTCTAAAAGATTTGGTATCTTATTCCATCCATTGCTTCTATTTGAAGTTCTATGTTCAAATCCTATCCTGGATAACAAGATGTTCTTGTCAAGGGTCTTTTTGTTTTTAAACATACTTCAAGTTCAGAGTATTTCTAAGGTTAAAAAAAAATCTTCAGTTCAGTTAGCAGATTTCCCACACTCATTTCACTCATGAGAGTTTTCCTCAGAATGAGTTTTCATGTGTTTGGTAAGGGACATATTCTGTTTGAAAGATTTCCCACATTCATTACATTTGTAGGGTTTCTCTCCTGTATGGGATCTCTGATGTATAACAAGTTGTGACTTTGCATTAAAGGCTTTCCCACATTCGTTACACTCATAGGGTTTCTCCCCAGTGTGAGTTCTCTGATGTACAATGAGGTGTGCCTTCTGGCTAAAGGCTTTCCCACATTCATTACATTCAAAGGGTTTTTCCCCAGTATGAACTCTCTGGTGTTGAGTAAGACCTTCAACTTGTTTAAAGGCCTTCCCACATTGCTTACATTCAAAAGGACTTTCACCAGTATGCGTTCTCATATGGTAAGTAAGAGATGAGCTATGTCCAAAGGCTTTCCCACATTCATCACATTTATAAGGTTTCTCCTTCGTATGAGTTCTTTGATGTATAATGAGGTGTGACTTCTTGCTGAAAGTCTTTCCACATTCATTACATTCAAAGGGTTTTTCGCCTGTATGAATTCGCATATGTTTAGTCAGAGATGAGCTATATTTAAAAGCTTTGCCACATTCATTACATTCATATGGTATTTCACCTGTATGAGTTCTCACATGTTCAGTGAGAGATGAGTTATACCTAAAGGATTTTCCACATTCCTTACATTCATAAGGCTTCTCACCTGTATGAGATCTTACATGTTGAATAAGGTTTGAGCTGTGTCTGAAGGTTTTCCCACACTCAGTACATTCATAGGGCTTTTCCCCAGTATGAATTCTTAGATGGTCAGTCAGGGCATGTTTATGACCATGGGCTTTGCCACACTGAACACATTCATATGGTTTCTCCCCTGTGTGAGTCCTCTGATGTACAACAAGGTGGGACTTCTGGCTAAAGGCTATGCCACATTCATTACATTCATAGGGCTTCTCCCCAGTGTGAATTCTCTGATGGTCAACGAGTCCTTGTTTATGACTGAGAACCTTCCCACACTGGTTACATTCATAGGGTTTCAAACCAGCTTGAGTTTTATCAGGTTTATTGGATGAACTAGGGCTCAATGATTTCTCATGTTCCTCTCCAGACTGAATCTTGCCTTGCTTAGTATGGGGTGAGCTATGATGGCATCGTTTCTCACATTTCTTCCTAGTCTGAGTTTTGTCATGCTTGTCAGGTGAACTCTGTTTGGATAATTTCTCACATTTCTTTCCAGCTTGATTTGTGTCTTTCTTATCAGATAAGCTATGACTGAATGATTTCCTATGTTCTTTAGCTACATCAGGTTTCTTTTTTGCACAGTTTTTTCTATGGCCAGGTAAGTCTAAATTCTGCTTCAAATTCTTCCCATGTGAATCAGATTTAAAAAGTCCCCTTTTTGAAGAAACATGTTTTGTACTCACATTAATTTTTTTCCCCAATGAACCACACTCACTGCCTTTCTTCTTATTTGAAGTTCTGTTCTTAAAGGCAACTTCCCTAATGGGTTTGTTTTGAGATTTCTGGTTATTCTCCAGCTGGTCATCATCACACTGTTCTTCTTCTACAATGAAATTCAATGAAGAATTCCCGTGAATTTTTATACTCTCGCTTAAGTTTTTTTGTAAGTTTATAAAGTAAATATAAATCTTTTTTTAATGTAAATCTTTATTTAACCCTAATATCCCAATATAAAATAAGTATCAAATGCCCCTATTCTCTTAAACTTGGGGGCAGGAGAGAATGCTGTAGTAAAATCAGGGAAAGAAAAATGATAACAGTGATTAGAAACAACTTTGGCTACTTAAAAATATGAACTTGCAACCTGGGATAGAAGATTAAATAAACACATGGAGCAATGAACAGGGAATAATAAACATAGTTTTAAAAAAAACTTGTGATTGGGGCTAGGGTTGTGGCTCAGCAGTACACTGCTTGCCTAGCATGGGCGAAGCCCTGGGTTCGATCCCCAAAACCAAAAATAAATAAAGAAAGAAAGAAAGATATTTTGTCCAACTACAACTAAAAAATAAAATTAAAAAATGAGCATCCTTTCAAAAAAAAGCTTGTGATTGTAGGTGACACTTTTGGAGCTTTCTTCTCAGTTCTAGCTGCCCACCTCTTATAACTACTAAGCTACCCAGAGTATTTGGTGCCTGTGACCTAAAATATATTATTCCAACTCTTCATGGTCAATTGCAGACACATTTGGCTAACCCAGGATTTCCAAAAGATTTTTCTTCCTAAAAATGTAGACTTCAGATAGTTTCCATTTGGTGATTAAATTTTAAAATGACTCAAGTACTAGTAAATCCATATTTTATCTATATAAAAAAGCTTCTGAGTAGAAAAAGTGAAACATACAATAGAGAAGCAGACTGTAGGTCCTCAAGGGTATTGTTTACATAATTTCAGTTCTCAGTGGCCTCTTAATTACTAGTTCTAGTTCCTTGTGAAATCTGGCTGAAGTATATGCCCTTAGGTTACGAGAGATGTAAACACATGCCCTTATCATAAACTCCTCTATTTATTTATTCCTCTATTAAGACTAGTTAATGTAAACTAGGGTAAGAATGTAAGGCAAGTCTATTAAAGAGTAATGAGGAGCTAATAGGTGACTGAGGGAAGAAGCAGGAAAGGGTGTGCCACTGCTACATGACCAATGTAATAAGGACCTTCTTGTTCTAGGAACAAAAACAAACCCCTACAGGTCTTAACCAAATGGTAAAAGTTGCTGTAATTAGCTTGGCAAACAAACTTTACACTATCTGGATTTAGTGTACATACACATTTATTTTCTAATAGTTTGCCATGGAGTACACACCCTTGTTCTTGTCAGGTAATTCTAATTGCCAATTATAATTTTTAAGTGTATTCCTAGCTTTAAGTGGTTGCTCATATTCTTTCCCCCATATGTTACACAATTACATATTTTGAGATATCTTCTCTACCACAGTTCCCCTTCTTTGAGGATACCACTCACACCAACAGGTGTAGGCAGCCATGTTTGCACTGTATGACCCAACTTTTAGCTGAAAACAATTATTGAACAGTGGTAAATCCTAGGCCATTGATAGTCCAACAATATTGTTTCTCCTAAGAATTTGGAATTGAAATTCTAAGACTTTTATTAGCTAACTATGGATACCACATGTGAAAAACTATAAACTTAAGCTGGGTGTGGTGGTGCACTCCTGTAATCCCAGTGGCTCGGGAGGCTGAGGCAGGAGGATTATGAGTTTAAAGCCAGCCTCAGCAACAGTAAGGTGCTAAGCAACTCAGTGAGACCCTGTCTCTAAGTAAAATACAAAATAGGGCTGGGGATGTGGCTCGGTTATTGAGTACCCCTGAGTTCTATCCCCAGTACCCTTACTTCCCCAAAAAAGAAAAAAAAACTATAAACTTAGGAGCAGGGGCTATCATTTTGGGGCAGCCTTTTACAGATACATGCATGGAAACATAGAAAAAGCTTACAAATGAGAATAAAAAGAATCAGAGAGAGAGACACACACAGAGATATGAATCTCCATGATCTGAGAAAGAGAAGAGAGAAAGTAAATAGCCATCTTCATGATAAATGGACATTACATGGGAAAAAATGAAAACTGGATTCAAACAGAAAAGAGTTATTGTATCTGAATAGATAGCCAGGAAATGTTAGTCTTCTCTGAAGAACATTTAGAAACTAAGTTCCTGCAGATCAACTTTTGGAGGTATAACTATAGTAAGGAGACTCGAGAAGCAGAGCTGCTAACTGCTTTTTCATTTAGAAAAGTTTAAAGACATTCAGCACCCTGGAAGAAAGAGTTTAAAAGTGTGGGAGGCCATCCTCGCACATGATTTGAGTTACCTCCCTGGCTGGGCGAGAGGTGCTTAGGCACAGCTGTGTCAGAGCTTTCCCCACCCTTCTCCAGGTCCAAGGGCTTGTCCGTGCAGAGGCATATCTGGCCACTACCCGGTGGCCGCTACCCAGAACACCCAATCGTCGCCCCTGACCTTGGGATGCTGCCCTCCTTAATCTTCATTGGATGGGATTTTCCCCAGAATTTTTTGTTCCCCAATAAAAGTCCACTCCCTGGTGTGTTCTCTCTCTCGCTGGCTGCTTCAGTAAACCTCGCTACCACAATTGGTGGCTTGAGGCTGGAGCTAGGAGGAGCCATTCTGGAGCTGGTTTAAAGGTAATTAGAGTCTTGTCTCTTTAATTTAAAACTCCCTAGTGGTTTCTCACAACTCGAACCTTCTTTCATGAAGCCTGCGCGGGTTGCGGGCTAAATAAAAGGACTTCCTAGGTAGCATGACAAGACTGTATCTCCCAGTGCCTGAGGAGCATAGAGAAGATGGGGACAAGTTTCCTTCTGGGAAGAAAGTGATCAAAACTCAAACCTTTCCCCTTGACATGTAACATTATAAGAATCTCTTAAATGATGTGTTTGTGCTAATCACAATTGACATCTGTTCCCCAGAAAAAGATAGAAAGCACTAAAAGAGAAATTCACCATGGTGATAGGACAGGAGGAGAATCTGAACTATAGAATTGGCATAATAACCACATCATATCAGGGGACAGTTGGATCTAGTCAAGCACTTGATTAAGACTGGAAGCTTTTCCTAAATTTGAGACAGCAATTAAAAATGAATTTTAAGCTAGAATATTTGTTGCTTCATAAACTTAGTATGGAGCTCATTAGGCCCAACAAATTACTTAGAGGGAAAAGAATATTTCTTCATAAAAGAAGCTTTAATTATTATATAAGAACCTGAACCAAGAAAATAGTCAATGTAGCATGACAAAGATATATTTTTCAGGATTACCTTCTAGTTATACCAAGTTAGTTAGTAATACCAAGTGTCAACAATAAAAGAATAGTCAAAGCTGGAACAGCTAATGGACAGGTCAGAAAATCATGGGGTCTCTCCACTTGTCCTTTGAAGGACTGGTTCCTCTCATCTCAGGAAATTCATGGGGGTTTTAGACAAATCAGGGTCAGATGAAACTTTAAAAGATATAGTAGACATTCTGCTAATTTGGGGACTATAATGATGTAAATAATTGAGTATTTTAGTGTGTGGCAACCTTAAGATGAATTGTAAAAAAAAAAAAAAAAAAATGGATTCAATAAATCTACTCAAGAATTGGACCAGTTTAGGAAGATAATGTGAACCGAATTTGTGTGATGTCAGTGAGAACTGACAACAAACATACAGGAACTGAGGAAAGGACAGTAATCCACGGGAGACAGGCCTAAAATGAGAGTAGATCCTAATAAAAACAGCAAAGGTGAAAGAAACCTCTAATTTATAAAGAAAGACAAAGCTTTCAATTTCTGACACTCTAAGACTAATAAATAAGCAGGTCATATAGAAATGTAAAACAAAGACAAATGGAAGTCACCAGTACGGGATAAAAAGCTTGTAGTTGCATAATAGATGATCCCTCTAATGGACATATACTAGAAAAAAAGAACAGATAGAAGATAAAACTTAAGGAACACTTTAGCAAGTGAGAAGGAGGAGAAGCTGGTGAGTAAATGGTAAAGCAGCACTTAGGAGAGAGGATAAGATCTAATTCAGGTGGTGCAATTAGGTGGGCAAGAACTTCAGGCTAATCAATACTATTCAAGTCCATCCTGGAAGGCATGCAGTGGTGACTTTAAAGTCAGAAACTTAGGGAGGAATGAATTCTTAGAATTTGACTGCAAGGGTTAAGGGGAAAATGGGCAGGATGACATGCTATAGACCACAGATCTAGAACATTTCACAATGAAAGGAGGGAAACAGAAAGTCATGTATGGGTAGGAGTATCATGCCAACAGATTTAGAAAAAAGACAGATCCAAGAATGTCTGGATACATAGGAGAGAATTTGACACATGGGGGAATTAGAGCAAGGGGTGGGGATACTGGTAGAATGACAAAGGATATAAGGAAGGTGGATTTTTAAAAAGTAATGCTTTAGATAAGGTAAATAGGAATGGGATTGGGAGAAAAGCTAAGAGGGGTATTCTGAAAGCTGAGCAATGGAGCACATAGATAAGGAAAAGGGGTTATATGGAAGGACTGAAGGACCAGTTAGGCATCTGAGGGGCTGGAAGCAAAGGTTTAGGGCCCTGGGTTTCAGCTTTTTTCTTCCACAATTGGAATGGTATGATAGTCTGTATTACTGATACCTATGGAAGGATTACACCTCTAAGCCCCTCCCCAATACATGGCCATTTGAACTGTAGCACCCAGCCCTGTGGAAGGATTAAATATTCCTATCCTGTTGAACTCAGGAGTGGCCAAATGGCTTGCTCTAACCAATAAAATGTGTGCCGCCAGGTGGGGTAGCACATGTCTGTAATCCCAGCTGCTCAGGAAGCTGAGGCAGGAAGGTGCAAGTTCAAGGCCAACCTCAGCAACAGCAAGGTGCTAAGCAACTCAGTGAGACCCTGTCTCTAAACAAAATAAATAAAAAAATAAGCCTGGGGATGTGACTCAGAGTACTCCTGAGTTCAATCCCTGGTACCGCCCCCCCCCCCCCCGGAAAAAAAGTGGGTGAATCTACCACTTCCAAGCAGTAATTTAAGAGCTATCATGTGGTTCCAATTTTTCCCTTCTGCCAAGAGACCAGAATTTGCCAGAGAATGCTCTTTCAGCACAGCTTCCCAAATGGAGATCATATAGAACAGTAATACAGCTTGAGCAAAAAATAAATCTCCTATTGTAGGCCACAGGGATTTGGGGATTGTTCCTAAATGAAGCAAAACCTAGTCTAAGCTGACTAATACAAGTGGCACAAACTCCCATAAGTAACACTGGCTCACTCCTACAGTGATCTCTGCATGATCTCACAGGTGGACAGGTTCATGAAGAAGGAAGAGATATTAGAATCTCTAAGGTTAGGAAATCTTCATCGTTTGAACTATTCTTCCTCTGATAGACTCTGATATTTTTCTACAGCTATTTCCTGTTTAAGAAAAAAATAGGGAGCTGGGGATGTGGCTCAAGTAGTAGCACGCTCGCCTAGTATGCGTGAGGCACTGGGTTCGATTCTCAGCACAACTAAAAATAAAATAAAGATATTGTGTCCACCTTAAGCTAAAAAAAATAAATATTTTTTTTAAAAAAAGAAAAATATAGTCTAGAATAATTTAAGAATAATTTAAGAGTAAATTTTTCTTTGAAGAATTCCTAAGTTACCACCAAGAAACTAGGAACTTACTTCTACTGGTTCCTACTTGCTTGGATCTTGCTTTTTTATTCAGACGATTTTGACTGGGTTTCTTCCCCTTACCCAACCATGGTTCTTCTCCTTTTTCCAACTTAGAGATCATGTCTGGTTTGGGAGCTTGATACCCTGCTTATGAGAAAAGGTAGAAATTGAGAGTTAGAAGAGCCATCTCAGGAATCAAACTTCATTGTTTGCACTTCAGGGCCTTTCAAGGTGAAGGAATACACAGCTCCTGAAGTTTCCCAATGTGCTTGTCCATGTGCTGTAATTAAGCAGAGCTTCCATTTTGAAGGCAGTGGTCCTGCCTAGTACCCAAAAGGGATTAAAACTCTTTGACCCACAAAAATCAAGGCCACACTTATCAAGGGCTTCAGGAAGAATGTATCATGGTGAACACATTTTTAATTACAAGGGAATTGTCCTTACCCATTGAAGCTAGGTTGCTGTAGTTCTCCAGCATCACATCTTTGTACAGGTTCTTCTGAGCAGGTTCAAGTTGCTTCCATTCTTTCTGGGTAAAAGCCATAGTAACATCTTTAAATGTTACCGATCCCTGTAATAGCATATACCTGTTCAGTTCAGTGTCACCCATGTTTGGGGACTTGTTCCTTCCTTGACCACTTACTATTGACAACAGGCATGTTACATAATGTTTCTATTCTTTTTTTTTTTTTAAGAGAGAGAGAGAGAGAACGAGAGAGAATTTTAATATTTATTTTCTAGTTTTCGGTGGACACAACATCTTTATTTGTATGTGGTGCTAAGGATCGAACCCAGTGCCTCACGCATGCCAGGCAAGCACGCTACCACTTGAGACACATCCCCAGCCCAGTGTTTCTATTCTTTGCCTGATTTTGTATTTCTTTTTGAGAAACAAAAACCAAATTAAGAAATACTGAAATATCTTTATTTTGAATTTGTTCTTTTAAGAAGACAAAAAATACAAATATTAGAGAGAAAGACAATAAAAGAAAGGAAGGAAGGAAGGAAGGAAGGAAGAAAGGAAGAAAAGAAAATTCAGTCTTTATTTTTTCTTCTATAACAGGTTTCTAAATGGCTATGGAAATATCTACAGTTTATATAGAGTCCTGAATCATAAGAATAGAATTAAGACCCTTGTTGATTTATTACTAGGCAAAATAATTTATATTTGGAAGCAAAAATAAGACATCTTAGGCATGTAAGCATCCAGAAATTACATTACTTACACAATTGAGAAATAAAGAAAAATGAAGAGAGGGAGAAGCAAAGAGAGAGAGAACCGGGAAGGGAGAAAGAGGCAAAAGAGAAATCTTTAAAAGAAAACTGGGTAAAAATTCCAAAATTTTCAATATTGGGAAAAACTACATCATGGAAAGCAATGAATGATGTATTAGTTTTTCATCCCTGTGCCCAAAATATCCAATACAGACAACTTGAAGGAAGACAGGTTTATTTTTGACTCATGCTTTCAGAGGCATCAGTCTAGCTCCATCATTTTGGGCCTGAAGCAAGGCAGAACATCATGGCAGAAGGGTGTGGTGGAAGAAGACTGCTCAGCTCAAGGCAGCTGGGAAGCAGAGAGAGAGGCAAGGGCCAGGATATAGTCCCCAAGGGCATGTTCCCCATGACCTCTTTACTCCAACCATGCCCCACCTGACTACAGTTTCCATCCCCTCCTAGTAGTCCATTCAAATGAATTAATCCACCAAATGGATTAATCCACTAGGAGTGTACTTAGAGCCCTCAATATCCAATCACTTCCATAATCCCATCTCTGTGCATCACTACATAGGGGATCAAGTCTTCAACACACGGGAGACTTTCCAGATTCAAACTTTAAAAAAATAAGAAAGCCAGTAAATTGTCTCATTACATCTAAGTAATTTGCAATGTTTATGTGCAGCTGTTATGAAAATATCCTTAAAATCGAAAAGTAATGATGTAAGAAAAATAAGAAGGAGTATACCTGGGAGGGGTGAGAGGTAGGGGAGAAATCAAAGCACATTAATGTTTTTTATCTTATAGAAGCAGAAGATGACATGAGTTTTGGAGAATTTTAATACCAACAATATATAAATTCAAACAAGTTTATTCAACATTTAAAGATAACTCCTTACCAGACAGACCACCAATCAGACCTCCATATGTCACTAATTTCTAACCCCACAGACCTCCACTCATTGACTTCTAATATTCCCCATCTTTGATGGTCACAGGCCTTCCAGTCATTGAGCCAGGACAGCTCTCTTTAATCATGACCCAATGATTCCAAAATGACCCACCCCAGCAATCACAGCAGATCCCCCCAATCGCTTGCCCCCAGACAACCCAATCACATATTCCCATAGGTTCCTCAACCATTTACACCCATAGGGCACATGGATCTCTATCTCCCATGTCTCCAAATCCCTCAGCCTATCACTGAGCCCAATTACTAACACCACCAGGACTCTCAAACAGCAGCCATTACAGAATCCTAACTGCTGTCAGTACTCTGCCCTCAACCTCAACCTCTTTAGCCATTGTTATCACCTACTAGCTTTAACTAAAATCCACCTGTATCCTAGGCTCTTGCTTCCTTACAGTGGCCTCAAGTGGAGGTTGTTTCCTCCCCCCCATGACTTATGTACCTCAAGGTCCAAAGATGAGGTAAATAATTACCTCCATCCACCTTCACAATCCCTAGCTTGTTTAGATTGTCACTAGACTTCAACCCATTAATCTTTCTTAGTTTGATGATCTGTAGGAGAAACTCACAGAACTCAGCACACAGATGTATTCATAGCTATGATTTATTACAGCGAAAGGTTGCAAAACAAAATCAGTTAATTGGCATGAGACGAACTCAAGATGAAACCAAGCACAAGCATCCAAGAGTCCTCTCCCATAGGAGTCATAGGGAACATGTTTAATTCGTCCAGAATTGAGTTCTGGCAACACATGTGGGATGTTTTCTATCAGGGAAGCTCATAAGAGACTCAGAGGCCATGGTTTTTATTGGTGGCGATACAGGGATCCTGTGCTTGCATGAACATAAAGTCTAAACTCCAGAAGGGAATCAAGTGTTCAGCATAAACCACATTATTTATATTCATTAGCCATAGGGAGCCTCTCTCATAATTTCTGGGACTGTTGGGAATCCTGATGAAATTTAATTTCCCAGATGCCACCCTAAGGTCAACCTTACAAGAAGGTCTGTCGAAGGACAGCAGTTTTAGGCCTGCTGTGTGAACCCTTCTGAAGTCATCCTGCCTCATTCACTGAAAACTTTAGCACTAGCTTACTCTTTGCCAGAGCTCCTGCCATCATTCATTCTACTACCTCCATATCCATGAAGAAGAGCCGTTCAACAGCCTAGCCTCTCTCTTTCCTGATGCCAACAATCTTTTCTTGCATAAACTCAATCACATACCCATCACCCCCCACATACACCCCTTATATCTTGCCATCACTATGCCACCTACAAAATCTCTACCTAAAACATTCTACCCCTGACCATCATTTCCTGCCAGCCCACTTGCCCTAGCACTCCTACTTCATTCTCCAAACTCACTGAACCCTCTGCTTCACGGGTCCCAACCCCTTTTTCATAATCTTCTGCCCCACATTGCCTTTACCGACTTTCATTCTTATTTAGAGTCCATAAACAAGCACCACACATACACCACTGAAAACTTTAAAGCTTAACTTCCTTGCCCCTCCCAACCACACTCACTTATTGAAGTGTCAACCCTGGCTAAATCTAATTCTCCTCTTGCAATCTGCCTGTAATCTTGCAGCTGAACATTGCAAGAAAAAAAATCAAACAACTGTACTGACTGGACTCACTTCAGATTTATAATACATATCTCAAATGGACATCCAAAACCATAGCAATCGGAGTATTTACCCTTTCCTCCTTCCAGGATATTACTGCAAACCTCTTTCCTGAAATCTCCAACATCCACTTCTTTCCCATTATCAGCTGATAAATTTGCCTTATACTTCAAAGACAAAATAAATGCAAACAGACTACAACTACCTTGCCCTTTAATCACCAATTCTACCAACCTGTTTCCAAATCCATAGGTAAGGTGCATTCCCTTCTGAGGAAATGGAAGAAGTCTTTTTCCTTCTCTCACTAAGGCCAGTTTTTCCACTTGTGTTTTTTCTTTCTTTCTTCTTTACTTTTTCCTATTTTTTGAAACTGGGGGTGAAACCCAGGGATCCTTTATCACTGAGCTACATACCCAGTCCCCCTCCTTCTGTCGTTTTTGATTTTTGTCTGTCTGTTTGTTTATTTATTTTTGTTTGAAACAGGGTCTCACTAAGTTGCTGAGGCTGGCCTTGAACTTGCAATCCTCCAGCCTC